GGGAGCTGATTTTCCACCCCGTGGGACAGGGAGCAGAGCGGGGATGGTAGGGTACACCTCAACGGCTTTGGGGTGCTGTGTCTGCCTTGTGCCCCACCGTCGTGGGGAACCCACGCCCCTAATTTCGTGCCCCGGGTCTCAGTTCCAAAGCCCTCAGTTCCAGGACGCGGGCTGTAGCCCAGATCAGTGGCGCGGGAATGGCGCCTTTTGAATCCCGCTCCCGTGCCTGGGCGCCTTGTTCCTGCTCACTCAGGGAGGGCCTCCGCTGTCTCCCCGCAAGCCTAGGTCGCAGGCGCGGGGACCTGGGCAGCTGCGATCCGGTCTGGATCCGCGCCACTTTCCGCGCAAGCTTACCGGGCAGCCGGGGCTGTGTGCTGGTGCTGGTCTCCTCCTGGGGGGCGGGGCTCTCTTTAATGGCGCCTGGAGCTCACCTCCGCAGCGGATCCTGCAGGGTTCGCCTCAGCTCCCGTTCACGGGGTGTGGTGGCTGCAATAGTTCCTTTCCACTCACAGTCCCGCTTGCTGCGTCCGTTTTTCTTGTTGGCCGTTTTGGTTTGTTGTTTCCTCCTCTCTGCCGGTCGGAGAGTGCCGCCTCTGTGGGCGGGGGAGGGGAGCAGGGTTCTGCGCTTCCCTCCCTTCTCGTCCTCTTTTATGGCAACTTTCTTCTTCGGGCAGTTTGCTGGAGTCGTCCGTTTATCTTCCGTGTCCCAGTTCTCACTGGGACCTGCCGCTTTTCCTCCCTATTCACTTTTTTTAATGGGAGATCTTACTCGCAGCGTCTCCTCGCCGCCATGTTGCTCCGCCCTCTCCTGGACCACATCTTCCTGTTTTTCATTTTTGATACTCTGACCTCTTGATTTCCATACTCACTGTAAAAATCTTCCATGATTCTTAGCTATGGGAGAAAGAATAGTTAATATGTACAGGATATACTAAAACTATGAATATTTCTGACAAGTTCTTTGGGATCAGGACTTAAATATATTGAACAGATAAGCAGCTCTGACTTTGAGCTCCTTAGAATAGAAAGCATTTCGTTCCTCTCAAAGTATGTTCTTGTCAAAGAACTCTGCAGTTATGTTACAATATGGGGGTGGGATTAATGACTAATGAGGACCTTTAAATCTAGAGTAGAAATGTTACTTTCTAAAAGACATTTCATAATTGCTATGAAGATGTTGAGGACATTTTGTGTTGTGGTGAGTTAATATCAGAAAATATTTATTATGGCATCTAATTGTAGAAGATGTGGTATGAAGTACTTTAGAAATACTCCACATTCTAACTAGCTAGCTAGCAATTCCCAGTGTTGATTTTGGTTACCTCAGGGTGATTTTTGCTTCTTGAGTTACAGGCAAATTAACAAAATGCAAATTCCTATTTATTAAAACTTTTACCTCATTAACTGATATACTAGGCCATAAATGCCATTACAGGTACACAAACTGTTGCTTCCCCGCAGTCCAGTGGGTGGCAGGAGAAACTGACTTAGCACAGGGTCACTGATCTCTATAGTAATGACTGCTGAAGTTGCTTTGGCCTCTTTTTCCAGTAGTCCCTATAAATTCTGTCATTTTCTATGTGTGTCATGATGTGAACAAAGTTGGGAAGCTCTGTCCTAGAGGCAAGAGACAAATTCTACCTGTTGTAAATAAAGTTAGTGATGGAAGAATGGTTGAAAAGACATTTAATTCTGTGAGTTCACAAAATGAGGGTTGGTGTGTTTGAAGATTGCAGATAAGTTTTAGGAATGGATTATCAAAAGGATGGTGGTTAAGCACAGAAATATGAAGTAGTATAATTTGGGGTTTATTCTAAGAGAAGATTGCCATCTCATAGCTACAGTTCAAGGAAATAGATTTAAGTAAGGTGTTTGGCAGAGGTTTTTTTGTTTGTTTTGTTTTTAAATAATTTCCTTATTGACTGTAGAAATATTGTTTGAATTCTAGTATAATTGAGGTGGAATTTCTGTTTGGTTGATTAAAAATAGGCAAAGGTTGCTGCTAGTGAATGTTAGCCTGGAGGAATATTTCTAATGGTCTACAATAGTACTTTGCCTTCTTTCTTCATCTTTCCAACATTTTATTAGATGACTATATATCAGACTTAACATGTTTGTCAACGACTAGAACTAGAAGTAGTGGTGAATATTTTTAAAGACTGATGGCATCCATAAAAGATCTTTCTGACTAAAGCAAAGGACTATCTACATTAAGATTGGAAGCTGTATGAGAGCAGTAATAGGCTTCTTTTTCTCATTTTTGTTATCTATAGCTCTCTAGCACAATATCTGGTATGTAGATGTATTGTTGATTGAATTAATGGAATTGAATAAATCTTTGTTTCAATCAGTTGTCCATCCTCAGACTTCTAATTCCTCCCTGTGTTGATAGTTAGATACTGTATGTGGATATTTTTTTCTATTGGCTTTTCTTTTGTTGTGAAGGACTGTTTTTTGAAGGAACTTCGGGAAGATAATTTCTGGCCATAAGGAGTCTATATTCCCAGAAGAAGAGAAGTTGATATTTTGCAGAAGAACATTTTGTCTTGTAAAATGTTTTTGAAACGTTGGAGCCTTATTACTGTTACTTACTGTGAGACCATTAAATTCTCAGTTAGAAATTGAATAGAAATGTTTGAATTTAGTCCAGGAAAGCACAAGTTTTATATATTGACAACTTTTATATTACATTTAAATTATTGCATTATAGTTATTCTCTTTGGATAAAAAGAAATATTTCTAAATTATGAGAAAACCATGTTTTAGTTGGTTATCATTAATGGGTAAAATGATGAGTGAGTGCTCCTATTAGTTTGGGCATTAACTCTAATTTACCATGGTCCCTAAGTATGTTGTCTTCTCAATAAGAAATTTATTGTTAGTTTTAAGGGCATTTCTTTGTTTTCTTCTTTATCTAATACTGTTACAGTTGGGAATGGTGGGAATTGTGGCAAATTGAAAAGGGTCTTATGTGAACATGGTGCTTCCAGAGGGGCATTATATGCCTCCTTTGTGGTAGGATCCATTTCTATTTCTGGGTTTTTAAAGAATAGTAGAAAAATCTAGATTTATAAGAATTCTCTCCATTAAATGCTTTTATTTTCAATATCCACAAAATATTACATACTAGGACATCACTGTATATTTGAAGGTGATTACTCCTATGGAAAATGTGGAACAGGGTAAGGGGAAATTGGTCACAAATGGGCAGATTGCAGTACTAGGTAGAGTGATGAGGGCATGTTTCTTAGAGATTTAAAGATAAATTTAAAGGGAATGAGGAACTTTCCCTAAGAAGTTAGCTGCAGGTTATTTCAGGCAAAGGGAGCATTAGAGTCAAAGCTGAAGGCAGGGGCATGCCCAGGAACAGCAGACACTAGTATGACAAATGGAGTAACCAATGAGCAGTAAGACATACTAACCATAAGGGCATTGTGACTTTCACTCTGAGTAAAATGGACATTCACTGCAAGCTTTTAAGTAGAGAAGTGATGTACTCACTTTGATTGCTGCTTTGAGAATATTCTGTTGGGAACAGGGGTAATCTAGGTGAGAAGTAATGGAGGTGGGGACAAGGATCCAAAATGGAAGTGATGAGTGGTCAAGATTCTGGATAAATTTGAAGATTGAGCTAGAATAGATGTGGTTATAAGAATGTTTTCCTTTTCCTTTTCTTTTTTTTTAACATTGCCTTCTCTAACTTCTTTCTAACTTCTTTTGACTTAAGTGTCTGAATTTCCAATTTATATCATTCATTTTCTAGATACTGTTTTGTAATAATTCTTTAAATGTAAACTTTTGGTCATTTTTATTTCATCATAAACTGTGCATTTGTTACCTCTTTGATTTGGTTGGTTTATCGGATTGATGTATGCTGTATGGGATGACTTTTTCCCAAGAATAGAGTACTTGTCTTAGTCTCTTCAGATATGTGTTTACAGAGTGTTTGTTTTATCCCAAGGATTGCTTTCTGATAGGGATAATGAGTAAGATGGTGCTCTTAAAGCTGATATTTTTCTTTTTTAAAGATATATTCATTTAAGTATACAAGAACGGGTGTAGGGCAGAGGTGCGGGGGGTGAGAGGATTCACCAGAGACAGAGTGGGAAGCAGAACAGGTAGACTGACTGAAATACACTGCTGAAGGGAGTAGAGTGCGAGACAGGAGAGGTCTGCTATGCCATGTGGGTTAGCTCCCTGGCAGGGGATCAAACTCAAGTTGCAGTAGCTGGTGATAGCTTGATAGTGCTGAGACATAACCCCTTGTGCCACCAGAGAGACCCTTAAATCTGATCTCAATGATGAATAATTTTTCTGTAATGTAAAATTTGCTTGTATGTGCAAAATACTATGAGAGTCAAATTAAGGAGGCAGAATAATGCCCCTTTCAAAGCTATTGTCCTAGGCTGAATAGCCGCTTAACTGATTTTCCTTAACAAATTGGAAAGAGGAAGAAGACAGATCAGTATACCAGTTGAAAAAAATTTCAGAGTATTTATTAGAAAACATATTTTTAAGACTTAACAAATTTTAATGCTGGAATCTCGATAAACCTGAGCGTATTCCTTGTAACGCTACCTTAAGAATGTATATTAAGAAGACTTTATTAGTGGGGCAGTGTAGATTGGTATTAATACTAGCACTTTCCCCCTGGCTCATGATGTATTTCTGTTTAAAGCAGCATTTATATCTCAAATTTTTAAAAGCAAGTTTACATGTGAATAGCAAGGGAAGAAAGCATTAGGAAGACATTCCAATCTCAGTTTTACACTTTTTATACCTTCCAAAATGCTAGATATTTAAAATGTGAAGGAGCAGTAAAACGGTTTAATATGATTGGGTAATATTTTAAAGTTGTGTATGGTGAATGAATTAACATGTGGATAAATGGGACTTTGTTACCTTTAATAATATCACTTAATATATATGCTTAATAACAACATACTGTGTCTTGCGTGCTGCTCCATGTGTCTTATCTAACAGAAATGTTTTTCTTTTAGGTTCTAAAGATTGTGTCATTAAGGCACAGGTCTTAGCTGGTGGCAGAGGAAAAGGAACATTTGAAAGCGGCCTCAGAGGAGGAGTGAAGATAGTTTTCTCGTAAGTCGTGTTTTTTAAAGAAAAATTGTCATTAAAGAAAATAAACTTGGGGCTTCCCTGGTGGTGCAGGGGTTAAGACAGCGATCTCAAGCTAGTACCAGCCACTGCAGCAAGAGTTTGATCCCCGGCCACTTTGATCCCTAGCCAGCCAGGGAGCAACCCACATGGTGCAGCAGACTTCTCCTGCCTTACCTCCTGCTCCCCTCAGCAGTGCATTTCAGTAAAACTGCCTGTTCTGCTCTCCGCTCTCTTTGGTGAATCCTTTCACCCCCAACACCTCTGATTTACACCCCTCTTGTATGCATAAATAAATCTTAAAAAAAAATAAACTTGTTATAAAAGATGCCCCCCCCCCTTTTTTAAGAGATTTATTTATTTATTTATTTATTTATTTATTCAAGCACTGGGTACAGTCAGAAGCGCAGGAGGGTGAGAGAATTCACCAGAGCCAGAGCGGGGAACAGAACAGGCAGACTGATGAAATACACTGCTGAGGGGAGCAGTGGGTGCGGCAGGAGAGGTCTGTGGCGCCATGTGGGACCCTCGCTGCAGAGGCTGTGGGCATCTTCACAGCCCAGTGCTCAACCGCTGCGCCACCAGGGGAGGCCCGCCTCTTATTTTGAATTGATAAAAATATTTAGATTTAAATATTAGGTGAGATAAGATTTTGGCTATCGTATGTTTTTCTCAGTTGGAGGTGAAAAAGATTTGAGATTTTTTTTCTTATTTCAGTCCAGAAGAAGCAAAAGCTGTTTCTTCACAAATGATTGGGAAAAAGTTATTTACCAAGCAAACTGGAGAAAAGGGCAGAATATGCAATAAGGTATTGGTTTGTGAGCGAAGATATCCCAGAAGAGAATACTACTTTGCAATAACAATGGAAAGGTCATTTCAGGTGAGCAGTTATAGACATTTTACATTTAGAATGAATTTATTGCATTTAATTTTATGAGTTGATTATTATTTTTATTTGTATGGTAAAGATAAAAAAGATACAGTGCATAATCTTTTATATAGGTTGTGAATGCAATATTTATTTTTGTGTCTTAAAATAATATGGTTAATGCCATAAAATTTGATATATTAGATTGTGGCAGAAAAAACTGATCGGCAGAACCCTGTTGAAATAAATTCCATAGGAATTCCAAATTTTTAGTTTGGTAAAAGCAACTAAAATCATCTCTGATTCCTCTCTAGAGTCTATAGACTAAAAAGATAATTGCTAGTATAGTAAAATATTCTAATGAAAGAGAAAGTGAAAACACTCAGCCAATATATATCTCTGGCTTCATCTTTTTCTTTTTCAACCTCTTGGTATATTTTTATAGCTTGGGGTTTGTTTTACTAGATGATTTGGTATTTGGTAAGTTGAAGGGTGAAGTTCAATAGCAAACAATATGATTCTGTTTTAATTAATTTTTTTTACATAAACAATGGTCATGAAGTACCATTGTTTTACAGCTTTGTTAATATTTTGACAAATAGGATTTCTCCTTTAGGTGCGGTCACCACCAAAGCACCCATAGTCCTCCACGATGGTCTGTTATGCTCTCTCCCTCCTGCTTCTTACCCCGCTCCCATCTCTTTTCCTCTCCTCCTTCCTCTTGATGCCTCAGATCTATGGTCAGTTTTTCAGGATTGATTTTATAGGCAAACACTATGACTCTAAGGTGTATGACCTTTGCTCGACTAGTTGTGAACTTAAAGATATTAGGTAAAGAAATCCTTTCGTAGACCAGATGCTTGGAGAAGGCATTGATAATTACTTTATACTATAATTCTCTGGCTTTTTGAGTGCATTACGTTTTATAAGCTGAATCTGTGTGGTAACTAGCTTGTCTTTTGAAGCAAGTTGTGTACATACTTGGAAGACCTGGTAAGGATTTGGTGTAGAGCATTACTAATTACCCAATTAGTAATGTAACAAAAATTTTAAGGATCATGAAACATGTAACAAAAAATTTAAGGATCATGAAAATAGTTTTCTTAAATAAAACAGTCTTAATAAATATTTTCTGTGTTGGAATTTTTTTTTCTTACAGTGAATTAAATCTTCTAGTAATGTTTGTATGAGATCACCTTTCAATTTTTAAAAGAATTTCTTAAGGTATAACACTAGATGGTAGTAAAAATCCACTCAGAATATAAGATAAAAAAAGTCTTAGTCATAAGTGATGTCTTTTCTTCTGTAAGGTTCTGTTTTTGCTATATATTTTTTTATTGTTATATGTTAACATCTGTCATTTTGTTAGTTATTATGTTTGTACTTTATGCCTGGACAAAAAATTGAGATATGAGTCCTATAGTGTACATTCTGAAGAACTCATTTTGATTAGAGCTAATGTGGCAAAGCAAGTGTGTCTATTAAAGGATATGCATATAACTCTGAATTTGTTTTATTAAATATACATTAAGGCATTCAGGAGAAGGATTAAATTTAAGTTCATTTTAAGAAATTGTATTTTCAGAGAACTATTTGAGTCTTATAAAGGAAAAATAGGTTTATTTCCTTTGCAAAACTTGAAATAATTCAGACTGAAAATCCTGTAGTACTAATAGTAAAACTATTTGGCCAAAGACATAATGTTCTTTAATTTTAATGTATTAGTCAAATTTGGAATTGACTGATGTTGCTTTTTGAGATAAGGCAAGCTTTTTTACTCATCCTTGTGGGCAGGTCCCTATTAAACAACTGTAAGCTCTTTAAGAAATAAGTCATTTTTTATTGAATTAAAGCTCTAAGCAGAGCTTGTTTTTTTGTTTGTTTTGTTTTATTAAGTTGTCACAGTTGTTTGACTCATTGGTTACTGCTTGAACTTGATTTCCAGGCACCATTCCTCCCAGAAAGGTGGGCAGATAATAGAGTCAGAGCTCTACTTGTCTAATCATATTGTTGGTATCTCTGGCTGATCATTGCCTACCTGGGCCATCTTTTTTTTTTTTAAAGATTTATTTTATTTATTTATACAAGCACTGGGTACAGTCAGAAGTGCGGGAGGGTGAGAGAATTCACCAGAGCCAGAGCGGGGAGCAGAACAGGCAGACTGATGAAATACATTGCTGAGGGGAGCAGCAGGCGGCAGGAGAGGTCTGTGTGCCATGTGGGACCCTCCCCGGTGTCTGGGGATGGAACAGTCGCTGCAGAGGCTGCGGCAGCTTCACAGCCCAGCGCTCAACTGCTGCGCCACCAGGGGAGGCCCCTGAGTCATCTCTTATATTAACTATATAGAGAATCCCTCATGAGTCACCTTGTTATCATTAATTCTGAGATGTGGTAGAGGGTTTCATGGTTGCCTCCTAGACACTGGGAACTAAGTCAGCCAATTATTTATTTATTTACTACACATGTACTACTATTTATTTACTAAACCTGTATACTAGAATCTAATCACATGGTACAAAATTTAAAAACTACAAGTATATACAGGGAAATATAAATTTCCCACTCTCACCTATTTTTCTCCTTGAAGGTCAGTGTTTTGTTTTTTTTTTTTTTTAAATCATTTTTTCATCTAAAGAGCACTTAGCGCTCTTAAGAGTAACAGATTATTTTTCTTTTTGCTATTGCCTTAGCCATTGCCTTATTTTGAGCATTTGGAAGACTATTTCATTCTCTAAAGAGTAATAAATACTTATTCCTTTGCATTATACCTTCAGATGAGTTTGTTATTCCAATACTATTGCTGGAATAGAGAAATGGAATTAGCCTTTAGGTTTCCTGTTTTCATGAAAATGAAAACCTTTTTTTTTCTGAATTAAGAATAATATATTCATTGTGAAAAATTTTTTGGAAAATAGTGACACATAAAATAACAGTCTTGCCCTTTAATGTTTTATTTCCAACATCATTTTTTTATTTTTGTGACTCATGGGTAGACACACATTTAAGCACACTTTGTTTCAAAAAAAAAATTGAGAATAGAATCTAAAATTTTACGTCATTTTTTCTTATATAACACTACTGAGTTACTTTCCTATGCCATTAAATAACCTTCAGTAATATGGATTTACCATTTCTTTGTTTTTGCATACTAAAATTATATACAGTTTTGCCCATAAATTAGCATATCTGTTCATTTGTTTTAAAGTTTTTTTCTTTGATTGATTTTGGAGAACTTAAAAGTTAGTAATTTTAATTATTTAGTATTTATAGTTTACCTTCTTATATAGTTCATGTTGAAAGCCAGAACTATTTATTCAAGGAAAGGTAGCTTTATTTTTTTTCACAGTAGGACTAGAGCTTCTAAAATCTGGAACTTTTAATTCATTAGACATTTCCTTTTAAATATCAATAATCTATTTTTATGATTTTCTAATTTTTTTTTAATAATACTTTAATTTCCTCAGGTCTTATGAGAAATACATAGATTATATTTCATATGTTTATGTGAACTTATTTGGTATAAGTTTTGTGCTTATTTTTTTTCTCTTGCAGGTGAGCCATTATCATCTTCCTTTTCACCTTTTTTTATTATTACAATTGAACACTGATAAGGGGGCACAGTGCAGGAGACATGAGGATAAATTCTTAAGGAAATTTAAAAACAGAAGTGGGGAGTGATAGCTGCAGATGTCTGATAGTGTGCACAGATAGGTTTAAAAATTTTATGTTGATCACTTGTCATCAGGGAAATGCAAATCAAAACTACCATGAGATACCATCTTACACCAGTGAGAATGGCACATATTAAAAAAACTAGCAACAACAAATGTTGGCGAGGGTGTGGAGAAAAAGGAACTCTTCTGCACTGTTGGTGGGAGTGCAAACTGGTCCAACCACTGTGGAGAGCTGTGTGGAGATTTCTGGACCTACTAAACATAGAGCTTCCATATGATCCAGCAATTCCACTCCTAGGTATTTACCCAAAGGACACAGAAACATCAATTCCAAAGAACACCTGCACCCCTATGTTTATAGCAGCACTGTTTACAATAGCTAAGCTTTGGAAACAACCCAAATGCCCAAAAATAGATGACTGGATCAAGAAGATGTGATACATATATACTATGGAATATTACTCAGCATTCAAAAAAGATAAACACATGCAATTTGCAGCAACATGGATGGCGCTGGAAGGGATCATGCTCAGCGAAATAAGCCAAAAAGAAAAAGAAAAATACCGGATGGTCTCACTCATAGCAGGAATCTAGAAAACTTAAATAAGGGACCAGGAAAATGAATAACTATAAGAAAGTGAAAATCAAAATCAACAAAAAACTATGAACCAGAGACACTTTTAGGGGGTGGGGGCGGGAGGGGAGGGATTGGGGTCAGAATGGGGGGGCTGCAATTGTATGGGGAATATAAAAATAAAATGTATTATTTAAAAAAAAATAAAATAAAAAATAAAATAACTAGCAAGGTAAAAAAAAAATAAAAACCAAGGCACAAAGAACATTATGCATATAAAGATATGCAAATTGTTTGGAAATCAGGTAAAATATGGTTATTAAGCAATGGAACTAGAATTATGATTATTGACTCCGGAAATGATCTCCTTTTTTATTTTTTTGCTTTCCCTACCATAGTGCTGTGTAGACCAGAAAATTTGAATAGTATTTTTATAAGACATGTATTTATTAAAAAAGGCTCTAGTAAAACTTGTAAAAAAAAAATAAAAGCTATGACATTGCTAAAAAAAAAAAAAAAAAAAAAATTTATGTTGATGGGTCCAAGGTAAAACCCAGATGTTTTGGCTGTTTCCCCTTGCTAGGGTCCTGTGTTAATAGGAAGTTCTCAGGGTGGTGTCAACATTGAAGATGTCGCTGCTGAGAATCCTGAGGCCATCGTTAAAGAACCTATAGATATTGTAGAAGGCATTAAAAAGGAACAAGCTGTCAGGGTAAGTTCAGTCCAAAATATTTTTGATTGAATAATTATAATACTTAAAGAAAGAGAATTAACTTTTACATGCAAGGTGATTAACAAAACCTAAAATTTTTTTGAGTGTTAATGTATATTAATGTCTTGCTTGAAATAAAAACTTTTAGAGGTATCTACAATATTTTCATTCATGTTCTCCATAAATGTATCAATATATATATTTAAAAGATAAGGCTTTTTATAAAATAACCACTATACCATTGCCATTCCTACTACCGCTGACAATACTTTCTTCTTACTATTACCTAGTTATTAAAATTCCTTAATTAGTTCAGGTTTTTTATGTTGTTTAAAGTTTGAGTTGGGATCCATGTAAGATCTTTCATTGCTATTGGCTAATCTGTCTCATTTCTAATGAATGTGTTCATGTCTTTTTCTAATTTATAGATGTCCATTCATTCTCTCCATCCTTTTTTTTTAAATTTATTAAAGAGGGCCTCCCCTGGTGGCGCAGCAGTTGAGTGCTGGGCTGCGAAGCTGCCTGCAGCCTCTGCAGCACCAGTTCGATCCCCGGCCACCGGGGAGGGTCCCACATGGCGTGCAGACCTCTCTTGCCGCACCCACTGCTCCCCTCAGCAGTGTACTTTGTCAGTCTGCTTGTTCTGCCCTGCTCTGGCTCTGGTGAATTCTCTCACCCCACCCCACCCCACACACACCTCTGGCCTGTACCCCAGTTCTTGTATGCATAAATAAATAAATCTTTAAAAAAAATTTATTAAAGAAACTAGTGTGGTTATCTTTTTTTCTCATAATATAGATTTTACAGCCCCATGATGGCATTTAACATGTTCTTGCCTCTTTATTTTCTTTAAATTGAAAGGAATCTTGGGGTTACTATCTTATATATTCCTATTAGCTTAGTATTTTATTTTGGGGGAAGTGGTTTATGGATGCTTTTAAGCTTCTGAAAAAAGCTATGGGCTTTCTGTGCATGTTCATATGCAATACACTAGTTTTCTGTACTTTCTTGTGTGCTTATTCCCTTCTACTTCTCCCTTCTTCCCCAAACAAAACAAAACCCAAGAGCCTAGTAGTATTGCATATGAGAGTTGCTTGATAATGGTTGTAATACTACTGTCAGATTTAATTGTTTAGTTTGGATGTATCAAAACAAGTGGCCCATTTTAAAGGAAAAGTTTGAATATGAAACGTTGAATGAAATTAATAACTATTAATGGGAAAGCATGTCAAAATAAGCTTGTGGTATTGAAGTACAGTAAAGCAGTTAGATTTAGATGAAATAGAAAATACTCAATTTTCAAGGAAACTGGAGGGAATCATCTACTAAGATAGGTTTTTGAGTGATGAACAGAAATAGTACCCACCAGTGTTTGGCAAGTTAATGTCATAGTGGGTTGGTCAGAATTATGTTGCATTTCTCAGATGTTTAAATTTAAATAGTGAATTTTAACCCAGTGAAAATCTTTCTTAATGAAATATTACTTTATTTCATATTATTCTTTGTTTGCAGTGTCTTACCAAAAATCATATTTCTTAGCTTGATCATCCACTTTATTGAAATTTGACTTTTTGCGAATATCATATTCATCCAATTAGAGATTTTCTGTTATTGAAAATCAAATGTATTGCAAACTTAGATAGTGTAGTGGCAGGATGGCCACAGTGCAGGTTATCTATGATCGGGCAGACAGGGTAAAGGAGTCCTGGAGCCCTTTGTGGCTTTCTCAGGCTTTTATTGAGCTTTACATGTAGTGTGGCAAACATACACCGCAGGCAAGGGTGCCGGAAGTCCAGGAGGCCTCCAAGCCCCTGGTAAGTCTTCACTCTGGGCTTCTCTCTCTCTCTTCTTTCTTTCTCCTTTTCTCTCTCCTGCCTCTCTCCTGCTTCTGCTTCTCTTGGTGACAATCTCAGTACTCCTTCCATGGCCCACAGAAGTAAACAACACAACAGTGTAACAACTGGTGGTGGCCCATCAGGCAGGGCAATCCTAATGGGCGGGAGGGGGGGGGGAAGGGGGGGAACCCTGAAAACCATTTACCCTACAGATAGCAACTGGAAAGGAGGGGAAAAACTTCATTGTGTCTTAGCATTGGAAGCAGTTAGAATAAATAGCCAGAAGGGTAGTTTTTGTACAAGTTGTTCATAATTGCTTATGGACCTTTAAATCTTAAAGATTCATGGTGAAACAAACCTGTGGGTTAGGACCTTGGTGCATGTATTTTTTAAAAAGTCCTAAGTGTATCTAGGTAAGAATCTGTTCAAGGCTGAACTTTTCTTCTAGATTAGAAATTTAAGTATTTCTATCTTTGGGGTCTACCATGTATTAAGTGCTCATTAGATTTTTGAATAATGAAATAATACTTCCTTGACTGGATGTATCCTCATTGCTTGGTGTGAATTTTTTATAAATTACTTAAGAGGTAAAATAGGGTAACAATATTTGGGCCATTGTTTGGACTATTGGGATTGTCAGTCCACCTTTTATATACAGTGCTAAGAAAATACAAGCCTCTTCTTTCAGTTTAGGTTGGTTATAAGGCTTAGAGGCAGTATGAAGGCTAAGGGATAAACAGTAGGTGAATGGCAAATCACTTGACCTCTCTGAATCTTTTTTTGTTTGTTTGTTTGGAAAGTAGACATGCTACCTACCTTTTGAAAATTTTGAATAAAAAGTTTTGTTTAACCATTTACTAATAGTATCTGCCATTTTATTTTATTATTTTATTTTATTTTTTAAGATTTATTTATTTATACAAGAACCGGGGTACAGGCCAGAGGTGCGGGAAGGTGAGAGGATTCACCAGAGACAGAGTGGGGAACAGAACAGGCAGAAAGACCAAAACACGCTGCTGAGGGGAGCAGTGGGTGAGACAGGAGAGGTCTGCTTGCTGTGTAGGTTGCTCCAAGGCCAGCGGGCATCCAACCAGCACTGCAGAGGCTGCGCTCAACCGCCTGCTCCACCAGGGAGGCCCCTGTCATTTTATTGATAAATGTTTGACTACAAATGATTCATGCTTAATTAAGTGATAAACTATGAGTTTTGTTATTTCAGTGATTCACTATTAATTGGGCATCTGCAACATACCTTATATAATAGAGACAAATTGCTTTCAGCTTGCACAGAAGATGGGATTTCCACCTAATCTTGTGGATTCTGCAGCAGAAAACATGGTCAAGCTATACAACCTTTTTCTGAAATATGATGCAACCATGGTAGAAATAAATCCAATGGTAGAGGATTCAGATGGAGCTGGTAAAGTATCTTTCTTTATCAAACATTGATTATGTACTTGTGTATTATGTATTTGCCCACTTATTTTCTACTTCAGGTAAGGAAGTTGAACTCAGGAGGAAGTGAACTATGCTATGTAGAAGCTTGTTTTATAATGATTGGAATGGATATGAACAAATTCTGAAAAGACCTGTTAAAACAGAAACCTCTGTGTGTGTGTGTATGTATGTGTGTATTGCATGGAGAGGTTAAAATCTAAACTGGTGGCCACCAGCCACATGTAATTGAAGTGATATGATTAAAATGTTCCATTCTTAGGTTGCATTTCAAATACTCAGTAGAAGTCACATGTAGTTACTGTATAGAACAACACACATAGAACATTTTTATCATTGCAGAAGTCTTGTTGACCATTGCTGGATTTGATTTTCTGATATGGTAGTGAGTGTATGGCTGTAGTTTTGGAGAATCTCAATCTGTAGAAGTGAGATTGAGATCTTTATTGTACAAAAGAGCAATTGACTGGAACATTTTTTTTAAGAGGAAGAAGGAAGATACTAAGTTTAATTTAAAAAATATTTTTCTTCACTTTTGTTTTCTTGACTTCTTAGCACAATTCCAAACATTATTTGGATTTTCTGCAAAACATAGTCTCTTATGACAAGTATGTTTATGGGTCTAAAGAAAAATTATAGGAGAGATTTTCCCAAAACATAAATATTTTTCATTAGCATGAAAATATGACACTTCTCACAATGTGATTTCAAGACACAATTTCCTCTAAAATCTCCTTGATTTACTTTTTTCCCCTTGTTTGTATTTTTTTAAATTTATTTATGTATTTTTACATCATTGTTCATTTTTGTACAGTGTTTAATTTTTTCTCTCAGGTGTTGTTCCCATAAAATTAGATACCATGAACCATCATCATAGACTCTTGTGCTCTTCCCTCCCATTTTGATCCCTTTCTCTCCCTCTCCCCAAGTGAATATCTCTAATTTAGACTGCTAGTTTTGGCTAGTTTTGTCTTTTTTTTTTTTTTTTTTGCTGATCCCTTTATATGGTTTCCTTGTGTTCCTCCTTTATTTTTTTTCTTTCTGGCTTATTTCACTGAACATAATCCCTTCCAGCTCTATCCATGTTGCTGCAAATGCCATGTGTTTTTTTTTCATTGCTCAATAGTATTTCATTGTGTGTGTGTGTGTGTGTGTGTGTGTGTGTGTGTGGAGAGAGAGCACATCTTCTTGACCCAGTCATCTATTTTTGGGCATTTAAGTTGTTTCCATATTTTACCCATTGTAAATAGTGCTGTGATGAACATAGGAATGCAAGTATCTTTTTGAATTAATGTTTTTGTGTCCTTTGGGTAGATTCCTAGGAGTGGAATTGTTGGGTCATATGGTAGCTCCATTATTAGTAATTTGAAGGCTCTCCACATGGATTTCCATAGTGGTTGGACTAGTTTGCTTTCTCACCAGCAATGTAAGAGAAGAGAGTTCCTGTTCTCCATATCCTTGGCAGCATTTGTTGTTGCTGTTAGTTTTTATGATGTGGGCCATTCTTACTGGTGTGAAGTGATACCTTGTGGTTTTGATTTACATTTCCCTGATTATAAGTGATATTGAGCATTTTTACATGTGCCTGTTGGCCATCAGCATCTCCTCTTTGGAAAAGTGTCCTTTTTGCTCTTCCACCCACAGTTGGACTGGATTCTTTATGTTGTTTTTGTTGAGTTATGTATAAGCTCTTTGTAGATCTTTGATATCAGTTCCTTTTCAGTTTTGTGGAGTGCAAATATTTTCTCCCAGTCTGTGGGATGTCTCTTCATCTTGGTTATTGTCTCTTTTACTTGTGCAAAGAGTACTTTTAATACTTTTATTAAAATATTAATTAGTCATTAAAGAAATAGAATTAACTTGTCACTGTGACAGCTCTTCTTTTGCATGTTTTAAAAGTAAATCAGATTCTGATCATGTCTTCCATGTAGTATTTCTTTAAAATATAAGTTGTTTTATTATAATCTGATTTTCTCTTGATATTTTATATTAACTGCTTCTGCTGTAATTTGATTTATTTGTATTTTTTATTATAAAAATCAATTTTGGTTGATCATTTATATAGTTGTATAAAGAAAAATGAGATAATCTTTTGTGGTTATAGAGGTACTTTATAAAACTAAAAAGTAATTACGCTTTTTAAAGAGTGAGGGTTTAGATAGATTTTAAAACAAATGTACAGTGAAGGAGGGTTATCTTATAAGATAAATATTTTTTGGTTATGTAACTTAGTAATACTGAAAGAAATAGTCCCTGAATTCTTTTCACTTGTGAATTCTATAGCTACATTTTTTCACTAATGGAATTTCTTAATAACTTTTCTCTGTTCAGTTTTTCTTTTCTTTGTATGCATTTATATATGGTTTAGTTGTTTTTTGATTAAGGACATTGTATATTAATCATAGAACATTTGTAAGGTGTTAGAAAATACAGATAGGTAGGAGAAAAGTTAAAACCTCATTACACAATTAATATTTTATGTAATGTTTTCTGTAATTGGGAAATTGTCCATTTAATTATTATATCTTTCCCTTTTTAAACTATTTTCATGTCAATTTTTTCATGTTAAATATTTTTCAAAGAATTTTAAAGGCTTTAAAAATATTTATGCTGAGGCTACCTGGTGGCACAAGGGTTAAAGACACAGTGCTATCAAGCTATTGTCAGCTACTAGAGCACCAATTTGATCCCCAGCTGGCCAGGCCAGGGAGCAACTCACATGGCTCAGCAGACCTCTCCTGTCTTGCCTGCTGCTCCCCTCAGCAGTGTATTTCAGTAGATCCTCCTGTTCTACTCCCCACTCTATCTCTGGTAAATCCTCTCCCCCTTCCCAACCCCCCTTCCACACCTCTGGTCTGCACCCTGGCTATTGTATCCATAAATAAGTTAAAATAATATTTGAAAAAATATTTTTATAAAATCTTTGACATATTATTTTTCATATAGATTTTTAGAAGTAAAATTTTTGGGTCAGTAATAGTATATTTTTGTTAATATGTTTAACATAAGTTTTGATTATTGGTTCAAATTTTGCCATATTGTTTTCAGAAAAGTTGTTCTAATAAAGGTGTTTATTTTGCTGTCTACTTGTGCCAAAATTATTGTTATATTGAATTGAACCCCTATCAAAATTATAGGAAATGATGTTGTTTTTCATTATTTAAGTGGTGGTGTGAATAGTTCATGTTTTCTGGGACATATTTTTTTCTGAGAATTTTCCATTCCTGTCCTTTGGTACCTGTGTTAGTATTTTTTGACTGCTTGTCAGGGCAGGATGGCCACAAAGCAGGTTTTCTGATCTGGCAGATGGGTAAAGGAGTCCTGGAGCACTCGGTGGGTTTCTCAGGCTTTTATTGAGCTGTTACATATAGAGCAGCAACCGAGTACACAGCAGGCAGGGGTGTTGCCAGGCCAGGAGGCCGGTAGGCCTCCAAGCCCCAGCAAGTCTTCACTCTGGGCTTCTCTGGCCTCTTCTCTCTCTCTTTCTCCTGCCTCTGTCCTGCTTCTCCTTCTCTTGGTGAGTATCTCAATACTCCTCCCATGGCCCACAGAAGTAAGAAAGATTGCAACAATATAACAAATACAGGTACCCCATCAGGCAGGGCAATGGTGGGAGGTGGGAGGGCAGAAAAGCCTGAAAAACCATATACCCTACAGTCCACCCCCTCAGGGTTTTCTGCCATACAATCTACATATATACAATTTTTCCTTAACAAATGTATACACTGCAGCCATGGCCCACAATAGAACACAAATAATTCTAGGCAGGGCACCAACCTAGTGGCAAAAGACGACTATTGGCACCAGCAGATGATCCACCACTTCTGCTGCCAAAGTACACTGCTCATTCGAGGTATGGGAACCACTCAGGCATCTGCCGTCACACACCAGGAGCCATTAGGCTTCCTGGCCTTCTCCTGCTATGGGATTGGCCACAAGCCTCACACGGCATCCACCCCCACGATGCACTCACTCTTGGATTGGCGATTCTGTACTCTTTGGGGGTAATCGCCCAATCCTTAGGGTTTTCTGTCTGTGGTCACTCCAACACTGGACTTTCATAGTCACCAATGCAACATGCAGACCCCTGCACTCAGGCCAACCCATTGCACAAGCACATGGGTTGGGGATCCGTGGATACAAGCTCTACACGCGGCCCCTCTTGGGTCCCCTCTTTGGCTGTGGGCTTCACCACAAGCCATGTTCCCAACCCATCCCCCAAGAAGGGTTCCTCAGCTCCTCACCCTCACTCCACAATGAGCAGGGCATCACCCACAGGTGATTTTAAGAGACTCACTGGCCTTCCTTAGCATACTTAGGCTGCTTAGCAGCCGCTCCGGGCTTCCAAATCTCAGCACCAGCTTTTGCCTATCTAAGTTGACTTTTCCTCTGCCTGGCTGCTAGGCAGTACACAGGCTACTCCTGGCCACCCAGGCCCACTGGCCACCCCCAGATTCCCATCTCCTGGGGTATACAAACAATACCATCCTCCCCCAGGGTCCCCAAAGCAGAACATTACCCTGCCAAAAAATTCCTCCACCTTCTGGCGGGATTGTAAGTCCAAGTCCATCAGTCTGTTCCTGCATCAGCACTGGCGAGCTCTGAATCATGGTCCTTTCTTCCCCGAAGATTTGCTACCTCAGGGGTCATGGGCTGGTCCTCGCAGGCCATCTCCTCTTCCACTTGAGGTCTTGTCCCACAGCTCCCTGACCTTGTCCACCTCCTATGCTCCTGCAACATCCTTAGCTCTTCCTGCAGCTCCTGGACCTTGGTCATCTCCTGTGCTGCCATGGCACGTCCAGCGTTATCACAGGCAAACATAATCTGCTACTCTTCAGTCTCTCCTGACGTCTTTGGAGGGCTCCATACCTGTCTGCATAGGATCATCCTGTTGACTTACGCCAATTGTTGGGGCAGGATGGCCACAGAGCAGGTTTTCTGATCCGGCAGATGGGTAAAGAAGGAGTCCTGGAGCACTCGGTGGGTTTCTCAGGCTTTTATTGAGCTGTTACACACAGAGCTGCAACAAGGTACACGGCAGGCAAGGGTGTTGGAGGCTGGTAGGCCTCCAAGCCCCCTGCAAGTCTTCACTCTGGTCTTCTCTGGCCTCTTTCTCCCTCTTCTCTCTCCTGCTTCTCTTTCTCTTGGTGAGTATCTCAGTACTCCTCCTGTGGCCCACAGAAGTACATAAGACAGTTTGCAGCAATATAACAACTGCAGGTGCCCCATCAGGCAGGGCAATCCTAATGGTGGGAGGGCAGAAAAGCCTGAAAAATCATTTACTCTACACTGCTGTAACAAATTACTACAAGTTAGTTAGCGTAAAATAATGGAAATTTATTCTCTCACAGTTTTGGAAACCAGAAGTTCAAAATCCATATCACTTGAATACACGATGTCAACAATTCCATGCCATGGAAAGACTTGTAGGGACAATTCATTTCTTGCTTTTTTCTAGCTTCTTGTAGCATTCCTTGATGTTTGCTTCTTTGCAATTTCTGCATCTTTGGTCACATTGCTGCCTCCTTTTCTGTGTGCATCTCTCTCTCTTTCTCTTGTAAAGGCTCATGTGATATCATTTATAAGGCCCACCCATATGATCCAAGATAATCTTTATTTCAGATCCTTATTGTAATCATATCTATAAAAAATTTACCATATAAGGTAACATTCATGGATCTTATGAATTAGGACCATTTTTTTTTTTTAAAGATTTATCCATTTATACAAGAACTGGGGTATAGGTCAGATTTGCGGGAGGGTGAGGCCTTTGTTTATTTTTGAGTATTACTTTATATACATGGCTCAAAATTAAAAAAAATATATATATATTTTTTCTATCAATTGTGTGCCTTTAACCTGAAATTTTACTTTCCCCCATCCCTTCTCTACTCGTTTTTCAGTTTCTTGTGTTTTTGTCACCATAAAAACAAATGTAGGCTTTCTTTTTTTGATTTTAAGATTTATTTATTTATTTTATACAAGAACCGGGGTACAGGCCAGATGCGCGACAGGGTGAGAGGACCCACCAGAGACAGAGCGGGGAACAGAACAGGCAGACTGATGAAATTCACTGCTGAGGGCGCGACAGGAGAGGTTTGCTGCACCATGTGGGCCCCTTGCCGGCAGACTGGGATTGAACCAGCGCTGCAGAGGCTGCGGACAGCTTCACAGCATGGCGCTCAACCGCCTAGCCACCAGGGGAGGCCCTAAGCTTTCTTTATTATTCCTCTTACAGAAAAGATTGCATACTATATACATTTTGCACTTTGCTTTATTCAGCTAGTAATATCTTGGTGGTCTCTCTATGTGTGGATTCTATTTATTAAGGATGATAATCTGTTGTCTGACATTTGATACAAATATCTTTCCTTTTTTTTTTTTTTTTTTGTGGGACCCTCACTGGCGGCCGGGGATCAAACTGGCACTGCAGAGGCTGAGGGCAGCCAGTGCTCAACCGCTGTGCCACCAGGGAGGCCCTTCATACAAATATCTTTCAATGTTTATCCAGTGTTATTTAATTTTTTTTTTGGCATTGTAGGGTCAGGAATGGACACAGTGCAGGTTTTCTATGATCTAACAGACCGGGTAAAGGAGGAGTCAGAGCCCACAATGGCTTTTTGCAGGCTTTTATTGGGGTTTACCAGGTACACATCAGGCAGGGGTACTGGGGGCCGGGAGGCTGGCAGGCCTCCCAGCCCCCAGCAAGTCTTCACTCTATCTGGGCTATCCAGCATTCTCTCTCTCTCTCTCTTTCTGTCTGTCTGTCTCTCTCTCTCTCTCATACTGAAGTTTTTTTGTTTTCTTATGTACACAGATCTCAATTTGACATCTATTGCTCTATGGTGAGAGGTTTTTTTACCCCAAGAAAAAAATAAGATGTATTTTCTTTTTTCTCTCTAAAGGATTATTTATGCATACAAGAGCTGGGTACAGGCCAGAAGAAGTGAGGGGTGAGAGGATTCACCAGAGACAGAGTGGGGAACAGAACAGGCAGACTGACTGAAATACACTGCCGAGGGGAGCAGCGGGCGAGTCAGGAGAGGTCTGCTCGCCATGTGGGTTGCTCCCTTGCCGACTGGGGATCGAACTTATGCTGCAGAGGCTGCGAATTGCTTCATAGGTTGTGTCCCAACCCCCTGCGCCACCAGGGAGCCTCTAAGATGTATTTTCTTTATGTCGCACCTACTGTATATGTATACAATACATATGTATAATATAACATGTATTTGTTTATCTATTTATTATGTATAAGTAATAGATAAAATATATGTATTACATATAAAAATGTATTTCTATAAATAAATTTAAGAGGATATATAAGACCTACATAAAGTAAGTAAGTCTTACTTAAAAAGATACAAATCAAGACTTACATATGTGGAAAGACAATGTATTTCTATTTGGGAAAAACAACTAGAAAGATGTTAACATTTCCCTAAATTTCAGTCTTTATGTGCTGGGAAATCTGATAAGGGAATTTAAAGGCTACCTAACAATAGGAGTTAGTAATTTGATATCCAGGTACCCATAGAAGGCCCATTGATTCAGGGAATTTGTGCTCACATGGGACAGTAGAGCAGTTTTCCTGATTGAGAGTTAACCTGTTTTCACAACATTTCTTTTTCTTTTTTTTTTTTTTTTAATTTATTTATTTTTTTTCAGAGAGGCATGTTTTATTTATTTATTTTGTTTGTTTGTTTGTTTTGTTTATACATGCACTGAGTACAGTCAGAAGCGCGGGAGGGTGAGAGAATTCACCAGAGCGGGGAGCAGAGCAGGCAGAAGGACCGAAGTACACTGCTGAGGGGAGCAGCGGGCGGCAGGAGAGGTCTGCGCGCCATGTGGGATCCTCCGCCGGTGGCCGGGAAGCAACTGGGGATCGATCCGGCGCCGCAGAGGCCGCGGGCAGCTTCGCAACCCAGCGCTCAACCGCTGCGCCACTGGGGAGGCCCGATTCACAACATTTCTTAAGAGTTCCTTGATTGTAGACTAAAAGTAAAGTGTGAAACGGGGGCCTCCCTGTAGCCTAGGGGTTAAGTCTCAGAGCATTACCTCTATACCCTGAGTTCCATCCCTGGCCAGGGAGCTAACCCACATATGGCGCAGTAGACCTCTCCAATCTCGCCTGCTGCTCCCCTCAGCAGTGTATTTCAGTAGATTCACCTTATAGGTTAGGACATTGGGGTTACAAAGAAGTGACTTGCCCAGGGATACATGGCTAAGGGTGGAGGTAAGCTGTGAACCTCAGCAATCAGCTACAGAACTTATGCTCTTAGATATGACACAGTTGTATGACAGGGATATTTTGGGCAAAAAGTAGTATATAGGCAGTATTGGAGTAGAAGTGATTAGAGGAGGCTTATCTTTTAGTAAGCTGTAACAATAGCTTACATGGAGAAGGTAACAAAGGCTATAAGAACTAATGAGCGGTTTTTATTTTACAAATGAGTCCAAACTCAGGCTGATCAAATAAATACATGTATTTCTCACAGTATCTTTATATATTTTGAATCGAGGCATTACACAAATATAGACTGTGTAGCTATAAACATATATAGATTGATAGGTTACACTTACAAGGTACATAATAAGTTTCAAGAATATTTTTTAAAAGAGTATCTCTTTTGGTACTAAGTTGCTATATGACAAGATAGAAATTAATTTGGGAAAATTACCACAGTATTCTTTAAAACAATAGTTTAAGGACAATTAAATTTAGAATTATTTCCTTGGTGTACATTTTTTTTTTTTTTTTAGGAATGTGTCTATTGCATAGAATGAAATAGTTCTCTTTAATTGTACTGGTTTAATTGTTTGAATAATTGCAAGCTAGGCTTTAGACTTATTTTTCCAGTAATGCTCTGAAAACAGAATGATGCAAAAGCAGTGCATTTGAATGGAATCACTTAAATAGCTTATACCAATACTGTCATCGGGTTTCTGAGAGGCCCACAATAACTAGCCCTTTTTCCTGCCAGAGTTGTAATCAGAATGGTTTCTTTTGCAGGAAACAGTTTGAATTCATTGTGAAAATAAATTGAAATACTTTTGATAAATAACAAAATGTCTTTTTTCCTAAAGGACTTTTGATTAAAGACAGTTTATTGTATGTCTTGAGATTAAGATCACTTTCCTTTTTTTTTACTTCAAAGTGCTGTGCATGGACGCAAAGATCAATTTTGATTCTAATTCATCTTATCGCCAGAAGAAAATCTTTGAGCTACAGGACTGGACCCAGGAAGATGAAAGGGACAAAGCTGCAGCTAAGGCAGATCTCAACTACATCGGCCTAGATGGAAATATAGGCTGTCTAGGTACCACACATTAGATTTGGATTGACTAAGCTTAAGTGACTTTCTTTGTGTTGCTTATACAACCCATTTTCCTCTCTTGATAGTAAATGGTGCTGGTTTGGCTATGGCCACAATGGATATAATAAAACTCCATGGAGGAACTCCAGCCAACTTTCTTGATGTTGGAGGTGGTGCCACAGTCTCTCAAGTAACAGAAGCATTTAAGCTTATCACTTCAGATAAAAAGGTATGGGTGGGGCTTATGTTTTAGAATTTGAATGTTGAGAAATAATTTGATCAATCAGTAAATGTGATTATACTAGTTGCATATTAAAATTCAAAAGACCTCAATAATTTGGTAAAGTTACTGAATTCAATGCTGTAAAAGGTAACTAGAAAAAAAGAATAAAGTTCCCCTTTGAGATTTAGAGAACCAGGTAAAGAAATACTAGGTTTAAATAATAGCATATATGGTTGTGATGTGGAAGTGGTGCCATTACTATACAAACATTTTCTGGAGATGTTAGTTGACTGCATAATTTGTACCTATAAACTTTTTTGCCTTATTCAGAGATAAAATGTACTTTATTTCTCTTGTTTAATAACTATTCATAAAAATAATCATTTTATTGGAAGCATATTTGTAGTTTCTTTTGTCATAAACTCTAAAAGCAGATTATGATCTAGTTAGCTACCTATTGAGTACTTGCTAAAGTGAACTAGAAATTGAGCTATTTTTCTAAGCCTGGCTTTTACAGCCTACATATAAGAATGGAGAAAAGCATATGAAGAGTATTGGGGACCGACAAGAAGTGCATTGTCAGTTGGAAATAGAACATGAGCCTAGGGTGACAATGTGGATAGCATTGAAGTAGCTATATGCTTATTATGTCTCTTTGTATTGGGCAATGTGCTTGGGTCTGAGAATACATGGTCCTTTCCCTCAAGGCATTTATAGTCTTACTGAGGTGATAAACTGAATGTAGTACTATGGAAGGATAGATTAAAGCTGATAACTGGAAGAAACAGAGTGGCCTTTATTGAATGGGTGATACTTTGAGATGTTTGGAGAAATGAATGAGTTAGGCAAGTAAGCAAAACCATGGAATCCAGAAAGGCCCACTCTGTTCATGTAATGAGAAGATGTCTACGTATAAAAATATAACATTACTGGAAAGAGTAGTTAGAGATAATATTAGCAAATTGAGACCACGTTGTAAAGAGCCCGGTATCCAAGAAATTTGGGTTTTAAGCCTTGTGCCTCACCTAGCACCTATACAAACACATAAACCTCTAACTTTATTAAAAGAAAAAATGTTAAGAAGGAACTCTTACAGAGGGTGAAATGGAGAGAAAGATGGCACTGATGAGAGAACAATTTGATTATTATACCTGTTTGTTCAAAAACATGAAGGCAGTGTCAGTGAAAATAAAGCAAAGAAACCTAGTTTAAAGACATTTCTGAGAATCATTAAATTTATTTTTTCTTTTTTTGGGAGGGCCATGGAGAAGGAGTTCATTAGGACTTCTGGCAGGGGAGAATCATTGGGTGATAATCCCTTTCATGCTGCCAGAAACAATGTAGGCAAATAGATATTTCTGGTTAATATATTGAGTTTGGGTTATGGTGACTATATCTAATAGGCATTTCTAAAGATACCATACTTCTTATAATAGTTGGATATATGTTTGTGAGTTCTCAATATATTGAGAAAAGTCACAATGTTAGGAATTGGTGAGATGACCCATGGAAGATGAAGAAACCACTAGTGGAACTCTTCCATGTTGAAGAATTGAATAGAGAAGGACGGTCCAATAGAAGAGATAGTTAACAAGCTGTCATAGTTGCTGATCATGAAAGAGTGGTAACGTTGACAGGTAGCATGTGAAGAATTTTGAAAAGGGGGTAGGTAACAGTGGCAAATGCTATTGGATGATTGGGAAGCTTAGCAAGAATAGTAGAAGGGAGAGGGAATGAAGCCAGGCTGTAATGAATTAAATTGTGATTGGTTATTGAGGGAAGTGGGCAAGTCCAGGAGAGTTTACTCTTTCAGAGTGTTTTTTATGAAAACACATATGGACATAATGCTGTCACTTGAATGAAGGTAGGGTTGAAGAGAACTGTGAGGTGCATGTTTGTTTGCTTATTTGTTCAGAAGACCAAGAAGTTGAGCTATTTATAGCTGGAAGTAGAAAAGAGAGTTGAAGTTGAAGAGTGAGTGTAGCTAAAAGAGTGAAGACCTGGAGGAGCTATATTAATTTGGTGATGAGGTTAGTGTTGGAGAGGGGACTACTCTTTACAGGTGGGGTTATTGGAGAAAGGAGGATCATACAATAAAATTTAGAAAGCTTGGAGTAGGATAGCAGGCTTAGGAAGTGAATGAAGAGCACAATGCAGTGCTCTTGAGGACTTTTCAGGTATTGCTAGTATTTCAGGGATTTTGTTTGCTTTACTTTTTTGCTTTTCTTTGGAGTCAATAAACTAATACACTGGACTCTTTAAAGAATGCTTTTTTTGAACCAGGATGACAGAGGAAGACTGGGTGTGAGAGAGGAATGGGTATGAGAGGATTAAGTATACACATGATAGCATCATTGAATTACTCAGCCACAGTGTCCAGGCTCTAAAGAAAGACAAATTGGGTGATACACTGGGAGATTAGAAAAGGGTTGTGGGACAAGAGGCTTTCAATGAGGAAAAGACTATGTTCGATGACCTTACAGATGAAAGGTATTAAAGACGAAAGGAGAAGAGATTGAGAATGAGAGTCACACATTTGATATTCTGGGTAGGTCAAGGATTTGTCCTTGGTAGTGGTGATTAGTTGAACTAGAGGTATAAATGGCAAGGTAAGGAGTCATTAACTTTAGGGTGAAGTATTATATGATGTCCTGAGTTGAATATTATAACTCTCCAGAATGAGCTTGAAGGGAGGGAGATAATACAGGTGCCCAAGACCCCAATGAATTCTAGTCCATTAAAAATTCTAGACTTTCATTTCTTGAAAATCCAGTCATAATGTAGTAAAGATAAGGAATGCGTAGTATAGCTCAATGTGTATCCACCTTTTTCATGTCTTGACATTCTCAGAAAAGCCGTTTCAATGGGCATAGGAGATGGCGAAGGTTGCTTATAGTCAAGAGTCCTCTGGCCCCCTGAGGTTCCAGTTATCCCAGAATCATCCTTGTTGCATTAGGCTTGAGCATGGGTATCTGTAACCCATTTGCAGCTCAGTTGTTGAGAATGTCTGGTGCAGATGAATGAACTAAGCCTTTTTCCTAAAGATAAATATTTTTTGGGGGGGAAAGGGGAAATGCTGGAAGAATAGTGATTTAGACTATCAGTGTGGTGATGAAAGAATGCTAAATCAAATAGACCTTGTGGTTTGGATGTGAAGTGTAGCCAGGAGTGAACTTAGAGGAAATATTGGTTTACATGAAAAATTGGTTGAGTTGATGAGGATAAATGAAGAGATGATGGTTAATGGACTCTAAATTCGAGATCTTGCACGTGGCATTGTCTTATAACATGATCTAGGGTAGTCATGGTGGTGAGCGACAATGTTTTATAGAAAACAAGTAGATGGATTAGGAGGTCTAGTTCTTATGAGGTATGAAAGAAGGAAATATGAGCCTGGTGTTGAAATTACTTAGGAAAGGGAAAATAAGTTCTGTTGGATATTGGACCTCAAATGATTTTTTTTTTTAAAGATTTTATTTATGCATATAAGAACTAAGATGTAGGCCAGAGGTGTGGGGAGTAAGAGCATTCATCAGGGACAGAGTGGGGAGCAGAACGGGCGGATCTACTGAAATACACTGCCTAGGGGAGCAGTGGGCGAGTCAGGAGAGGTCTGCAGGAGAGGTCTGCTGTACCATGTGGGCTAACTCCCTGGCTGGGGATTGAACCCACACCACAGTGGCTGGCAATAGCTTGATGGAGGTGAGACTTTAACCCCTGCGCCACCAGGGAGCCCCTGATGTTGGTGGTTTGGGAGAAAGTATTTCCATAAAATTATTTTTATTATAAGGCACATGTACAAGTATTTTCTTGAGAAGGAAGGACAAATATTTCTTCTTTTAAAATTTTAATCTATCTGAATTGTTTTATTGATAGGTACTGGCTATTTTGGTCAACATTTTTGGAGGAATCATGCGGTGTGATGTTATTGCACAGGGTATAGTCATGGCAGTGAAGGATTTGGAAATTAAAATACCTATTGTGGTACGGTTACAAGGTGAGTATCAATGATAGCATGCAGTTTTCCCATGAACTAATTGTTTAAAAATTTATAATTCCCGTGAAATATCATTTAAAATACAGTTTTCAAATAACTTTGTCTTTTAAGTGAAAGTATATTACTAATAGGAGATTTAAAAACATGGGTTTTTATAAGTTTTCTAACACTGGGACAAAATTGTAGTTTTGCTTGGTGTAATTTGAAAGACTTTTTATTGTTATGCTTTGTCTTGAATTTCAACTCACCTAAATTACCATGGATATGGCAAAGCGAAATATTTTACAAGCTTTTACAGTATTTTCTTTACTTTAGGAGCATTTATACTAATTTATGGAAGTGTTCCTATGTTGAAATTTCATACTTGCAGCATATTCTGGCAAATGTTTTAAGTGGTTTTGTGTCTATTTTTAAATCATCTTTATATTTGCATAAATCATTTTTAGGTACACGAGTTGATGATGCTAAGGTGTTGATAGCGGACAGTGGACTTAAGATTCTTGCTTGTGATGACTTGGATGAAGCTGCTAAAATGGTAAATGGGCTATGTTACTCTAAGGAAAAATTTGTATGTATAAAAGATTTATAAACACTAAGATTCCAAAATGAACCAGCTAATATTGTTAATTAGTGTTTCAGCTAAATAACACTGTCTAACCCCTTATACTTATCACCCATTTTAAACAGTTATCTGCACCATCTTGTCTCATCTGTGTTCTTACCTTCTACTTCCTCAAGGCTATGATTATTTTGAAGCAAATCTCAAACATTATTTCAGTCTAAATAGATTATCATGTATTCATAAAGGATTGTTAATGATACAGAAACATTGTTTCATTTGGGATGATGGTGTTATGTTTATATTTTATAAAAAAAAATAAGTGTTAACATCCCTGATTCTCTCAATAGTTTTTGGCTAAGCTTTTTTGTTAGAATTAGGTTCAGAATAAGTCTTCTTATTGTAACTGTCTAATGTAACTAGGTTTCTTTTAATCTATAGGTTCTCCCTTTTTTTTTCTTTTCTGAAGTTTATTTATGGTGGTCTTGTAGTGTTTCCCATAGAATGGATTTTAATTACTGTTTCTCAGGGGTTTCTTTTATTTATTTATTTATTAAGATTTATTTTATTTATGAAAGAACCAGGGTACAGGCCACATGTGCGGGAGGGCGAGAGAATTCACCAGCGACAGAATGGGGAGCAGACCAGGCAGACTGCTGAGGGGAGGAGCGGGCGAGACAGGAGAGGTCTGCTCGCCATGTGGGTTGCTCCGAGGCTGGCGGGGATCAAACCTGCACTGCAGAGGCTGCGGACAGCTTCACAGCAGTGTGCTCAACCGCCTGCGCCACCAGGGAGGCACAGGGGTTTCATTTAAAATGTTCCTCTGCCCTGTATTTTCCTGTAAAATGGTAGTTCAGTTTATGGGCTTGATTCTATTCACATAGGATTTTGAGGAGCAAGGAGCAGGAATATTTTATAGTTGATGTATGATTCTAAGGGTCTGCATTTTCCATTTATTATGTTGAAATACTTATAAAAAGTAACCTTTCTGTGTATCAACTGTTACTATTTTGCATAGAAAATGGAATAATTACTGAATTTTTATTTTTTGTTGACTAGTTTTCAAAATAAAGAGGTTATTTCCTTATGTCCTACAAAGGTTACTAAAGCTCTTTTTGTTTCTTTTTGTTTTTAGATGTGGGTATGTGTGCATTCTGTGCATATGCACACAGTATCTTAAACTCATGGTTAAACATACTTGATATGCTTTAATCCATCTAAGTTATTCTTATTGATCCTCCAATAAACCCATCTTTGATCAGTGGGAACCTCTTTTTCAAATTGACTCTTAAGTCCTATCCCATGCTCTCTGATATACTTTCTAATATAATGAGATATTTCAGGTTCATCTTTATGTTTCCTGCTCCAGGCCTGGAATCATCCAAATGGTGTTTAGACTCTAAGCTGCCACACTTTGGGATTTAAGGGTACTCATACCTACTGGAATATTCATTGTAGACTTTTTGAATGACAAATCTAAGAAAATGTCTATTTTCAATGCGATAAATACATCAGTACATAGTGATATTTTCAGTGCAAATCCTGGAGTACAGGTTTTGTCTGATTTGAGATCTATTTCTCTTTTCTCCCATGCCATACTAACATAAATATTCATTTGCTTTGTCCCTCAGTACAGACATGACAGTTTTATGGAAACAATACAGTGTGATTACTGAAAGCAGTTTAAGATTTTTGTGTATCATTCTATCTGTCCTTTGGAGTATTTCACACACTTATTGGATTTTAAAATTCATGTGAAATAGTTAACTGCTTTATATAAAGCTTGGTTTATTATTTTTTAAGGCATAGTTGTAAAATTTTTTTGTTTTATATTACATAAATATTTATGTGGCTCCAAAGTTAAAATGACAAAACAAGGTATATTTAGAGTATCTAATTTTTATACCAGTTCCTGTTTCTTTCTTCACCATAGGTGATAAGATTTTTTTTAAAAGAAGTTTTTGGTTCATCCCTTTTACTATTTTAGAACATTAGGAAATAATGTATATACACATTTACATATATTGTATGTATATACGTGGGCATGTGTATATATGTGTAAATATACATATATCACTCTGCTTTCCCATGTTATATAATAGTAACCTTCATTTTACCTTGTTTCTTTTAATCAACAAATATATCTTATGCATATGCCTTAGTAGAGAGAAAAAAAAGTTTCCAAGTGAAAACTTGAGACTCTTTCCCATCTATGTTTAAAGACATTTCATGAAGTCCTTTTTGTGGCTCTGTGGTTTAATAATATGGTTTAATTAATAATAATAGACTTTTGGGATATGCTGATGTCCTATGGGATGTCATTTCATAAGAATAATAAATTTCTTATTGCCCTTCTTTGGAATATACTTTGGGAAACTACTTATTAGTAAATAAAATTCAACTGCAGTTTAGAGGCATTTATAGTAATCCTGAGTTTATTTTTATTTTGTTTCTTTAGGTAGACAGGATCTCATATCCTTAATTTCTGGAGACAGAAATGATCATGAAATGTAAATTCATAACTAAATAGGTCCTAGCCTTCTGGTAGGCATTTCAGAAAGTAGAATAGAAGCAGGAAGCCTAGATCTGACCAGGAAAGAGAGAAGTCTTTTCTTTTAAAGGAGGTGTGGGAGAAATTAGAGAATGGAAGAGAGTGATAGTGGAGCTTGTAGAGATTCTGCTAGTGTAGTAATTGTGAGGTGGAGGTTACAGAAAGCTTATAATTTGCCTCTGGAAATAAACTTGGTTGCCTGAATTAAGAAAAGCTTAGTGGACAAGAAAAGAAAGAATCAGAATCTTGATTAGATACATCATGAAAGATAAAAGAAAAGTTGATTTGTTATTGTAGTTTTGTACTGAGTATGGAAATCATGACAATCTTAATATCATATGATGATGGTGTTAGCAACTGCTACCATTTATTTTTTTTATTGTACATGCAATCCCTAGCCTTTTCTCCCAATTATTAGGTCATTTAATATGAATTTGATGATATAACATCTGTAGATGAGGAAACAGAGACTAGATAAGTGATAAATAAATTTATTTATTTTATGATCTCATGTCACAAGCATCAGAGTAGGGATTTGAACCCAATATACATAACTTTAACCTTCTTTTAATTGCTCTCCTGGGTAGGAGAGAAGCTGGATAGGAACCAGCTGGATATTCTCTGAAAGGTTGTAATGAGGGCCTTGGAATTCAGGCTGACAATTGTTAACTTACTGATAGAAAGTAAAATACCAGTGCACTGACATATTCCCATCCCAATACTCTTAAGATTGTATACATTTTTTTAAACCAACTTGTGTTTAGATATTTTTTGCATTGCAGAGTAGCAAACTAAAATACTCACTTTTTGGTCTGTAAGATAAATACAGTTTAGACAATAAAAACAAGGTGTGTACATATTTCAGATGGATATAGTCAGTACTTGCTCATTATATATGAGTTAAAATTACAAAAAGTTATTAAAATTTATATATGTATATTTATATGTATAAATAATTAAGGTATTAGATACTGTATACAATCAGAATCAATACCTTCTGGTTACTTATATATTATTATAAGTTAATTTATGTTAATGTGTATTACTTATAAGTTGATATATATAAATAATCAGAAGGTATTGAAGTGTGGGTTATCAAGAATGTCAGATTTGACTATCTTTTGAGAGTGGGAAATGCTTGTAACAGTATGAACTGAGTTATAACAGTGTCAGCCCAGATGTCTTAAATGAAAAAAAATTGAACATGCATTAATTTCACATTTACCAGGAGTTTTGACTTTATGTTTCTGTCAAAAAAAGAGACAAAAAAACTTTGTTTTTTCCTCTCAGGTTGTGAAGCTCTCTGAAATAGTGACCTTAGCCAAGCAAGCCCATGTGGATGTGAAATTTCAGTTGCCAATCTGAACAGAGAACCTATTGGATGGCTGAAGGTGTTAAATGTGCTATAATCATTGAAATACTGTGTTCTGTATTATATTGTTCCTTTTCTCTTTAGTAATAAAGAGATTGTAATTGCCATCTAGATACAAAAACTTTTTAAAGCATTTGGTCTGCATTTAATTCTACTGGTCAGCAGGAGCTGTTTGTATAAAGAATATGTAATGCAGTTATCTAGTTTCTTTTGTTACAACCTTCTTTTTCACTTCTATAGAATGTCACTTGCAATATGCCAGTTTACTATGGTTGGCTGCAATATTCTTCATTGATCAAGTCCGATGAATAAAATAAATGTGAAGATAAAGCTATTCTTTAGTGTTAGAAATATGGCAATATCTAATAACTAGCCCTATTAGAATAATGTATTAAAACAATGTTTTATATAAAAAATGTTTATCTTCAACACCAAATACCTAATTAAATTTATCAATCACTATTTATGAACAGAGCTTTCAAGCACTCCCAGAATATTATGTTAAGTATTTTAGTGAAGTGACTTGTTAATTATTTGAATGTTGTTTTAATCATTACCAAAAGCTGATAACTCTAAGTCTTTGTGATGATGTGGTGTTAAGAAAAGCCTGTAGGTTTGTATCAAATAAAGGTATATTTCTGGATGGTTTTACTTATATGTGGGATATAGGGAAACCAAACAAAAAGTCAGAGGAAGACAAACCTTGAAAGTTGATCATAGATCTGAGACATCCAGGAGGGGAGAGGGAGCGAAAGGTGGAGGAGTGAAAACAGGAAGGAGAAGGGCACACTGGACTATGACTGAGGCTACCCAAAGGGGATATGGTGGGGAGGGAGCAAAGGGCAGAGGGGGGTCCAATGGAGAATTGCTGGGGCTTTGGCTGTGGGTGTGGTGAAATGACCTACATTTGTAGAGGTGTGGACATATACTGTGATGTAATCAACATTATCTCACTATAACAACAACAAAAAGAATTTGGGAGGAAGCACATAAAGGTATATTTATGAGAAATTGGAAGACATAATTAACAATGTCATTTTAAGTTAATAAAATCTATGTGATCTGGATTATACTTTTTCTTCATTAAGTAAACAGTAGAAATTGTATGTTCATCATTGCATTAAACGCCTCTAGGAAAGATTTGTACATCATGTACTTGGCATGTCATTGCATATTTTAATGCCACCTACAAATATTTAACTTCAATTTTGCTATTTATGTGTGTGCCAGAGGGCATTTTAAAAGTTCACACCTATTAAGGAGGAAAACAAGCAAAACCAAAAAGGAGAAACTAATACAACCCTGGCTGGGCATTGAACTTAATATTTTGGTGTGAGTTGTTTTGTCTGGCAAAGAATTCTATTTAAAGAAATTTAAAATCATGGGTGTAAATGTTAGTAGAAGGGGGTCAGGTGTGCAGGGCTATAATTAGAATCTTGCTCTTTTGTCCTGTTGAAATGTAAAACGGTGAGAAAGTCCTGTGGTAAAATCAGTTTTCAGATTTATGTAATGTGTAGTGGTAAGAACGAAAATAAGATTTAGGGGTTTGCAGTATAAAATGAGGAAAGGTGAAAGGTTGTTAAATCAATTTTTGCTTAAAAGTTTGATTTAAAATGAGGTGAAAGTGAAGGGCTAAAATAATGGTTTAAAAAGTTGATGGCCAAATTGACAACCTTAAAAGAAGAGAAAACAGATATGAACGGGTGTTTGAACCAATGTTAAACGCAATAAAAAAGAGGCTTGAGGTAAGAGACCTGTGTCCTTGAGTGCCAGAATTTGACCTACCTTCTGAATGTTCTGAGAATTGAGGCTATGGCAGTTTTGTTCTTTTCAGAAAGCTAGTACTGTCAACCATTTTTCCACTCTGAAGAAATAGAAAGTCGTTATTCATGATTTTGCCTCATGAGGATCTAAGGCGATGGACTTTTTTTTTCTTCACAAGTAATCAGCGTCTTCCTATTTTTCGTTTCTTTTAATCTTGTGTATATGTTTTTTGTTGTCCTGTGTATTGCATCTCTTTCATGTTTAGTGAGGAGGGAGTTTTGTCAGGCATACTGCCTATAGTAGCAGCCGTTCTGAAACAAAAAGAGTAGAAAGGCTGACCTTGCTACGATCCTGTCCGTTATCAAGAATCCTATGAGCTGGAAGGGGTCATGCTCAGTGAAATAAGCCAGAAAGAAAAAGAAAAATACCGATAGTTTCACTTATAGGAGGAATGTAGAGGATTCAAATAAGGAATTGGGGGGAAAATAATTATAATAAAGTGAAAATCAAATTCAGCAAGCAACTGTAAGGCAGAGACAGTCTGAAGTGGGGGAAAGACGGAGAGGAATAGGATCCAAACGGGTGGGAAGAGCACAAGGGATCGTGGTGATAGTTCACAGGTGAACTGGTGGTGGGAATTTCACAGGGACTGTAATCGAGATGAGAAAGCATGCATTGTACAAAAATGAAGAATGATGTAAAAAAATATAAAATGAAAAATATAATCAAAAAAATCCTCAGTTCAAGGAAAAAAAAAGAATCCTATGAGGAAAACAGTTAAACACTGGTGGGGAAATGAACAATATTTTTTTTTACAACGATATTGTTTAAACAATAAATAGATTTTAGGACAAAGCTGATTTATAGTGCTATTTGTATCAGTTGATTGGCTACAACTGTGTGACTGCAACAAAATGTTCATACTCACCCATTTTTGGCTTTGTTTTTCATTGTCTTCGCAGTTATAAAACTGTAAGCATTAAGATTTTTTTTTTGTAGTCTGCTTACCTGGTCCAGTGGCTCTCAGTTATCCATGTACCTTGGGGGGAAAAAAAAATCATACTTGCTAAGTTTTTTATATCTTACACTCAGGGATTCTAACTCAGTTGATCTGGCAACACACATGGTTAATAAACTCCTTAAGTGGTTCTTTGAAAAACACTGGAATAGGAAAGGGGCAGGGAGAAAATGAAGGTGTTTTATGCACCTGCTTTGTTTATTTCACTCCAGGATAACTCATTTTAGTGGTTCGCTCCACACCTCAAATGCTGTGTCCACTTGCTCTAGAAATAATAATTGTGTGAGAATTCATAACTGGCTCCCTTTGGATTGCAGCAGTTTAATGTCCTTTAGATACTCAGTAGATAATACCATTTTTTTATACCTTAGTACAATGCTAATCAAAGTTCCTGTCTCTGAAGCTATTTTTTTTTTTTAACAGATTTGTGATCAGCTAAGGATCTTCAGCCAGAATGTAAGCCACTTACGTCACCAAGGATACTGTTTAGTTCATCTGATAAATATATTTGTCTTGGTAGCAAGACTTTTCCAATGAAGGAAGTTTAGTGCTTTCATTTAGAGTGTGACTTCTTGTAACAGTCTGGTGACAAGTGGAATCAGAGACCATAATTTGAGTTGTACTATTTTAACAGACATATAAATTTTCAGAGGCTAAAAGTAGGGTAGCTTTGAGTGGAGGGATGGGGAAGACCCTGTTGGAAAGGGTCCAAAGAGCCAGGTGGAGCCACAAAATACCAACTCTGTTTGCCGAGTTTAGCTTGTGAAAAGCTGCTAAAATTCATACCCATAGTTTGACTTGCTTTTGTATTTTTTTTCTGCCTATCCTGTCTTGTGACATGTTTGAAGATGGAAGTGTAGACTAGTAAAGTGTTTCCCTCAAAAGAACTTGAAGCTGAGTTTTTGTTGGGGCTTTTGGACATTAATTTAGAAGAAATGTCCTTGATACTGTGATTGCATCTGCTGTTACTATTAAATTACATCAGTTCTTAAATTGTTCAGTCCAAATGGTCAGACTTGATAGTAAAACAAAATAAAACCTTGGGGCTCCCTGGTGGTGCAGGGGTTAAAGACCGCACTATCAAGCTATCACCAGCCACTGCGGCACAAGTTTGATTCCCCGCTGGCCATAGCAACCCACATGGTGCAGTAGACCTCTCCTGTCTCTCCCTCTGCTCTCCTCAGCAGTGTATTTCAGAATACACCTGTTTTGCTCCCCACTCTGTCTCTGGTGAATCCTCTCAACCCTCGTAACTCTGGTGTACACCACAGCTCTTGTACGCATAAGTAAATAAATCTTTATAAAAATAAAACCTTAGGGCAGCCTCTGCAGCGCCGGTTCGATCCCCAGCTGCTCCCCGGCCACCGGAAGAGGGTCCCACATGGCCTGCAGACCTCTCCTGCCGCCTGCTGCTCCCCTCAGCAGTGTACTTCGGTCCTTCTGCCTGCTCTGCTCCCTGCTCTGGCTCTGGTGAATCCTCTCACCCTCCCGTGCTTCTGACTGTACCCAATGCTTGCATAAATAAATAAATAAATAAATAAATAAATAAATAAATAAATAAATAAAAATTAAACCTTAAAGATAGTCAAGGACTTTTCTATTGGAAAGATTCTATAATTCTTTTTTCTACATAATTATTTTAGGGATTTATTTACAGTATCCAGTTCATTCAACAAATATTAATTGGCTACCTCCTATGTGCCACACAGTGTACCAAGGTGACAAGTTGGCAGGTGTTATCCTCGCTTAGCAGATGACATTGAAATGCAAAGGGTAAGTGACTTAAACAAGGTGTTGTAGTGTTGCGACATGACCTCAAATCTCTGTTTCTCATACTGTACTTCTGCATACCTCCTTTATAAACAGCTGGTTCATGCTCAGCAAAATAAGTCAGAAAGAAAAAGAAAAAGCTGGATGGTCTCACTCCTAGCAGGAATTTAGAAAACCTAAATAAGGGACCAGGAAAAGGACTAAAAAATACAAAGTAAAAATCAAAATCAACAAGCAACTATAAACCAGAGACACACTACAGGGAGGGGAGGGGCAGGGAGAGGAAGGACTAGGGTCCAAATAAGAGGGGGGTGCAATTGTATGGGGAATATAACCAAAATGAAAATGCATACATTGTGCAAAAATGAAAAATGATGTAAGAATTATATAAAATAAAATATTTAAAAAAATAAAAAATAAAGTGAAAGCAAGGTTAGGCTTTAGAACACTCATTTGATAGCAGTTACTGGAAAAATCCTGAACTCAATTCAGAAAGGTTCCCCTTCTGCCTACTAGGAGAACTAGAGCGGGGCGTCCCTGGTGGCATTCTGCTATTCCTCACTTCTCTCATACTCTGTGTCATTCCTTCCATTCCCCACTTCTCTGATTGTCCACCTTTTTGCTCATTCTTTTTGCTCTTCTCTCTTGCTGATACACAGGCTTTAATCTCCCAGACTGGAAAGATCGATGACCTCAAAGCTTTCCTATTTGTTGTTGGTTGGAGCAGGGGGCAGACTCTTACGTACCTCTGAATCTGCAGAGGGGGTGCAGTGATAGCCTTGTCCTTTAAACTGTCAAATTCAAATGTATTTGTAGGAAATTGCTCCAGCAGATTTTATGTCCCAAGTTAGAAGGTGATGAGGAAAATTCACGCAAAAGAAAATATGCTACTTGGTACTTTACAGCAAAGTTGGAGTGAGTATTAAGGACAGAAATGACAAATATATAATGGGATGATGCTTTTATAATCACATTCCAAAAAAGCTGTTCATGCTACATAGTGGGAAGAACACCAGACCTCGTGAGAAGGAATGAGACGTGAACTTCTGAGAGGTGGCAAAATAAAATGAACATCTCACCTCTTAATTTGTTAGAGTAAGAAAACTCTTCTAAGCAACTAAAATAGTTCACTGCTACTGTATGTTTAATCAGCAAAGAACATAAATCTAGGTAGTAAATAATATGATTTGTGTTTAAAACTTGCTTTTAAGACCATCCTATAATCAAGCTCCTTATAATTAGCTGCTTTTTCTCACATGGAAATCTGTCCTCCTAAAAGATAGCTCCAGAGATTTGTTTTCCACAAGTCAAACCTGCTACTTCAGTGAAATGTCCCTTCCTTATTTTCTACTCTGATCCTTTAAACAAAGGTATTTGCAAGAATTGATACTTTTCTGAGAGGTAGAGCTACTGTCTACTACCTAGCTACTATTCTTCTTTCCTCAAAAGAACTTTGGTGACAAAAGACCTGCAATTCAGTTGAACTAAGATTTGTCAAGTGCTAGACTTGAGTCAGAACTGGGGATACAAACAAGATTAAGATCTCTTAAAATGAAAGGGGAAGGTGGGAGGATTCTACTTTTACTCTAATGTAGCTTCCACTCCATGGGTATGTTCAGGGCATGGAGAGAAGGGATGGCATGGTAAGGGGGCAGGGTGTCACCACTCTGGGGAGGCCGGGTAAGGTTTGTTTAACCATATCTTGGCAGAGTGGGAGGCAATCAAGACCAGACAGGTTAGGTTGGGTGGCTTTCCTGGTGCACCTATAGAGAGGTAAGGCATGCAGCACCTGGGCAGGCACAGATGCACAGTGACATTAGCTACCTTTTGGATAGAAATTATCATTGAAACAGAGAAGATGCAGCACCTACATGTAGGATGAAGGTAACTTCCTTTGTTGAGCTCTGAGTCTTCTGGCTCAAAGGATCTTTATTAACGACTCTTGACTGCCAGGGTGATTGAAAGGACAGTTCTACTCCACACCTGTGAAAGTTTACATCTGTTTTTAGCCACTTGTGGGACCTCAGGTCTGCTTGCACCTGGGCTTCTGCCTTGATTTTCAAGGCACTTTATATTTTCTTTTCTTTTTTTTAAAGACTTATTTATTTATTTATACAAGAACCGGGGTACAGTCCAGATGTGCAGGAGGGTGAGAGGATTCACCAGAGCCAGAGTGGGGAACAGAACAGGCAGACTGACAAAATACATTGCTGAGGGGAGCAGCGGGCGAGACAGGAGAGGTCTGCCGCGCCATGTGGGATCCTCGCTGGCCGGCGGGATCGAACCGGCGCTGCAGAGGCTGTGGACAGCTTCACAGCGCGCTGCTCAACTGCCTGTGCCACCAAGGGAGGCCCACACTTTATATTTTCTTGGTCTAATGTTGGCACAGGTGTAAAGTGACCAATGTGGTCCAAGAAACCACAGCTTTTAATTTTAGGAGATTTTTCTTCCCATTCTTATTTTTTTTTTTTTTTAAAAGATATTTTGATCTCCTGCAGCAACTTTTTTTTTTTTTTTAAAGATTTATTTATTTATTTATACAAGCACTGGGTACAGTCAGAAGCGTGGGAGGGTGAGAGGATTCACCAGAGCCAGAGCAGGGAGCAGAGCAGGCAGAAGGACCGAAGTACACTGCTGAGGGGAGCAGCGGGCGGCAGGAGAGGTCTGCGCGCCATGTGGGACCCTCCTCCGGTGGCCGGGGGAGCAGCCAGGGATCGAACCGGCCCCGTAGAGGCTACGGGCAGCTTCGCAACCCAGCACTCAACCGCTGCGCCACCGGGAGGCCCTCTTCCCATTCTTATTGATTCAACTTCACAATTTAGACAAAAGATCATGTTTCAAAAAACAAAAACTATACAAAAAGCTGTACTTGAAGTACTTTCCCATTTTCTGCTCCCTC